GAAATCAATTTGGAGTGGGCAAATCTACTGTTGGGGCTGCTGTGATGCAAGTAGCCCATGCAATCAAAGGTCTGCTGATATCAAGGGTAGTGTCCCTGGGAAATGTGCAGGTCATAGTGGATGGCTTTGCTGCAATGGGATTCCCTAACTGTGGTGGGGCCATAGATGGAACTCATATCCCTATCTTGGCACCAGAGCACCAAGCTGGCAAGTACATAAACCGCAAGGGGTACTTTTCAATAGTGCTGCAAGCTCTGGTGGATCACAAGGGACGTTTCACCAACATCAACATGGGATGGCCGGGAAAGGTACATGATGCTCGCATCTTCAGGAACTCTGGTCTGTTTCAAAAGCTGCAGGAAGGGACTTTATTCCCAGACCAGAAAATAACTGTTGGGGATGTTGAAATGCCAATAGTTATCCTTGGGGACCCAGCCCACCCCTTAATGCCATGGCTTATGAAGCTGTACACAGGCAGCCTGGACAGTAGTCAGGAGCTGTTCAACTACAGGCTGAGCAAGGGCAGAATGGTGGTAGAATGTGCATTTGGATGTTTAAAAGCGCGCTGGCGCAGTTTACTGACTCGGTTAGACCTCAGCGAAACCAATATTCCCACTGTTATTACTCCTTGCTGTGCGCTCCACAATATCTGTGAGAGTAAGGGGGAGACGTTTATGGCGGGCTGGGAGGTTGAGGCAAATCACCTGGCTGCTGGTTACACGCAGCCAGACACCAGGGTGCTTAGAAGAGCACAGGAGGGCGTGGTGCGCATCAGAGAAGCTTTGAAAACCAGTTTCATGACTGGACAGGCTAAGGTGTGAAAGTTCTGTTTGTTTCTCCTTGATGAAACCCCCTCCCATTCATTCACTCTACTTCCCTGTAAGCTAACCACCCTCCTCTCCTCCCTTCGATCACCACTTGCAGAGGCAATAAAGTCATTGTTGCTTCACATTCATGCATTCTTTATTCATTCATCACACAAATAGGAGGATGACTACCAAGGTAGCCCAGGAGGGGTGGTGGAGGAGGGAAGGAAAATGCCACACAGCACTTTAAAAGTTTACAACTTTAAAATTTATTGAAAGCCAGACTTCTGTTTTTTGGGCTATCCTCTGTGGTGGAGTGGCTGGTTGGCCGGAGGCCCCCCCACTGCGTTCTTGGGCATCTGGGTGAGGAGGCTATGGAACTTGGGGAGGAGGGTGGTTGGTTACACAAGGGCTGTAGTGGCAGTCTGTGCTCCAGCTGCCTTTGCTGCAGCTCAACCATACACTGGAGCATATTGGTTTGATCCTCCAGCAGTCTCAGCATTGAATCCTGCCTCCTCTCATCACGCTGCCGCCACATTTGAGCTTCAGCCCTGTCTTCAGCCCGCCACTTACTCTCTTCAGCCCACCACTTAGTCTCTTCAGCCCGCCACCTCTCCTCCCGGTCATTTTGTGCTTTCCTGCACTCTGACATTATTTGCCTCCATGCATTCATCTGTGCTCTGTCAGTGTGGGAGGACAGCATGAGCTCAGAGAACATTTCATCTTGAGGGCATTTTTTTCTTTCTTTCTAATATTCACTAGCCTCTGGGAAGGAGAAGATCCTGTGATCATTGAAACACATACAGCTGGTGGAGGAAAAAAGAAGGGACAGCGGTATTTAAAAAGACACATTTTATAAAACAATGGCTACACTCTTTCAGGGTAAACCTTGCTGTTAACATTACATACATAGCACATGTGCTTTCATTAGAAGGTCGCATTTTGCCTCCCCCCACTGCGTGGCTACCCCCTCAACCCTCCCCCTTCCCCGTGGCTAACAGTGGGGAGCATTTCTGTTCAGCCACAGGCAAACAGCCCAGCAGGAACGGGCACCTCTGAGTGTCCCCTGAAGAAAAGCAGCCTATTTCAACTAGGTGACCATGACTGATATCTCACTCTCCTGAGGATAACACAGAGAGATAAAGAATGGATGTTGTTTGAACGCCAGCAAACATACACTGCAATGCTTTTGTTCTACAATGATTGCTGAGTATGTGCTACTGGCCTGGAGTGGTAAAGTGTCCTGGAGTGGTAAAGTGGTAAAGTGTCCATGGAGGACGCAATAAGGCTGCCCTCCCCAGAAACCTTTTGCAAAGGCTTTGGGAGTACATCCAGGAGAGCCGCGAATGCCAGGGCAAATTAATCCTTTCACACTCTTGATTTTAAACCATGTATACTATTTTAAAAGATACACTCACCGGAGGTCCCTTCTCCACTGGCCAGGTCCAGGAGGCAGCCTTTGGTGGGTTCGGGGGTACTGGCTCCAGGTCCAAAGTGAGAAACAGTTCCTGGCTGTTGCGAAAACCGGTTTCTCCACTTGCTTGCTCTGAGCTATCTACAACCTCCTCCTCATCATTTTCTTCGTCCCCAAAACCTGTTTCCTTGTTGCCTCCATCTCCATTGAAGGAGTCAAACAACATGGCTGGGGTAGTGGTGGCTGAACCCCCTAAAATGGCATGCAGCTCATCATAGAAGCGGCATGTTCGGGGCTCTGACCTGGAGCGGCCGTTTGCCTCTCTGGTTTTCTGGTAGGCTTGCCTCAGCTCCTTACATTTCACGCGGCACTGCTTTGGGTCCCTGTTATGGCCTCTGTCCTTCATGCCCTGGGAGATTTTGACAAAGGTTTTGGCATTTTGAAAACTGGAACGGAGTTCTGATCGCACGGATTCCTCTCCCCATACAGCGACCAGATCCCATACCTCCCATTCAGTCCATGCTGGAGCTCTTTTGCGATTCTGGGACTCCAACTTGGTCACCTCTGCTGATGAGCTCTGCATGGTCACCAGCAGCTTGCCATGCTGGCCAAACAGGAAATGAGATTCAAACGTTCGCGGTTCTTTTCCTGTCTACCTGGCCACTGCATCCGAGTTGAGAGTGCTGTCCAGAGCAGTCACAATGGAGCACTCTGAGGTAGCTCCTGGAGGCCAATACCATCAAATTGTGTCCACAGTACCGCAAATTCGACCCAGCAAGGCCGATTTAAGCGTTAATCCACTTGTCGGGGGTGGAGTAAGGAAATCGATTTTAAGAGCCCTTTAAGTCAAAAAAAAAGGGCTTCATCATGTGGAAGGGTGCAGGTTTTTATTGATTTAACGCTGCCAAATTCGACCTAAAGTCCTAGTGTAGACCAGGGCTCAGGGAGTAACTCACCCCTGGGAAAGTCGCTGTAAAAAGATTTCTGAGCTGCCTCTCACTACAGTTCGCGGATTGTGCCGCCAGAGGGCGCTGCAGTACAAGCAGGAATGCTCTCTGTGGTCCGGATAACACATGGGTCTATTTTACCTCTTGGCTTCTCGGGGTCAAGACTGAGGTATAGAGGCAGGTGAGATTCAGTTCGGCTCTCTCCAAAGCTTCTGCGGGGCTTGGCTGCTAGATGTCGGCTCTGCCTGGGGCCACTGGGAGAGAAAACCAACCAGAGAATTAATTCAGTGGGCGTGAAACTTCGAAGGGAGTTTAGGGATAAATTCCCTCTTGCCAACAATCCACCTTCTGTTCTGTGCTTGCAAGAGCCAGGGAGAGAAAACGGGACAACGCAGGGGGACAGGATGCACAGAGAGATACCGGAAAATGTGAAATCTTACTCACGTAAAACAACAATCAGCACAATGGCTGAGCCCAGAGTTGGTACCCTCCTAGTTCCACCAAAACCTGTGTGTCTTGGCTCCTCTGCAAGGATCAGGCTTTTCCTCTGTGTCTGGAGCAGGTGAAAGTCAGCGAGAGGGGAGCTCTTAAACTACAGCTGCAATCCAAAAGAGAGAGTTATCTTCTGAGTGAAGAAAATTAACCATCCAGTGATGCTTTCGCTGTACCTGTGACTGTAAGCGACTCCTAGGGAAACTACTTCTCTCTGTCTGTCGGTCTGTCTCTCTCTGTGTGTTCTTTAAATGAGCCTCCAAACTGTCTCAGCATGTCCGGGAGAGGCGGTCTCAGAGGATTCAGAGAGAGTTAATCTCTGTGGAAATTCACCACCGAGGATGGCATTCAGCTCCTTACAGAAGCAGCAACTCTTAGGTGCCCCTCCAGAGCGATGGTTTGCCTCCCTCCCCTTATGGTAGGCCTGCCTCAGCTCCTTTGTCTTCGCTGGGCACTGCTGCGTGTCCCGATCATAGCCCTTTTCGCACAAGCCTGGGGAAACCTGCCCATATGTGTCCCGATTCCTAGGGGTCTCTCCCAGCTGCAACTGAACAGACTCCTCTCCCCATACACTGATCAGCTCCACCAGCACCTTGGTCCCAGCGGGAGCGCGTTAGGCGCGATAGCCAGCCATGCTCACCTGCGAAGACGCCAGGACACCTCTCCACGCTGAGCCAGCAAGCAGGAAATGGGATTTAAAATCCCCGGGGCTTGCAAGGGGGAGGGGCAGGTTGGCGGCAGGGCAGCGGAGTTAAAATCGCTGACCAGAGCGGCAGCATGGGAATTGTGGGACACTTTCTGGAGGCCAATAAAATTGAAAAAAACAGGTATGGTGTCTACACTGGCTGTTTGTTGACAATAAAGGGAGGGAAAAGACAAAAGTCTCTCACATTGCATCCGATGAAGTGAGCTGTAGCTCACGAAAGCTGATGCGCAAATAAATTGGTTAGTCTCTAAGGTGCCACAAGTCCTCCTTTTCTTTTTGCGAATACAGACTAACAGGGCTGCTACTCTGAAACCTGTCACAGGGATGGAAGTTTTTTGTTGCCAAACTCGGTCTTTTTTTCTAGAAAAGTCCTGTTGCAGTGTGTACGGCTGTCCCTGTTTTCTCGCCAAAAGGCAATTTTTGGTGACAAAACTTGCTAGTATAGACAAGCCCGAATCGTTTCTGCTACTAAAATTTTCTAACAGTGAAATTATTTTTGCCACTTGGGGGCAATGTTGCCTCGGACAATAAAACAAACAACACGGTATTTTTCTGGCCGGTGAGTTCCCTCCTCTCCCACCACGGTCCCTCCACCACCCCGGTAACCTTTCAGACAGCTTCCATCTCTGGCCGCACCGGTTCGGAGGCGCTTTAGGGAGTCGCGGCATTCACTCCGGCGCAGGAAGAGAGGCGCTGCACCAAGAGACACAATAGGCGCTTCTAAAGCATCATCTGAGGGGCAAAGTTATTATTCTTCCCTTCTCTTCTCTGCAGAACGACGATCAAAGAGAAACTCGTTCTTGCTGTTGGTGACACCATCTCGCTCTCGGTCCCATATTCTGGGAAGACCCAAGGATGCCTTTACCTTGGGTCACAGCTGTCCTGATGCTGTCTATTCTAAGTGAGTGCTTCCATTCCTCATCCTGTTCCCATTGTATTCTTCCAGCTGCTAATCCTGTCCGCGTAATGCGATATTGACAGTGCCTAAAATCATGTGGGTGCTTATTATATCTGCGCTTATATGTCTGTATTATACATTGAATTATAATACATTATATCTGTGCTTATGTAGTATGTCTGTGTTATGCATGTATTGTATTTCCATTATACCTGGGTGCATCTGTTATGTATACGTTATGTCTGTACCTACTGTATTTCTATTAGAACGGATTTTAAATAGGATATTCCTATGTCTTCTCTTACCTATTAAATTTCTATTATATCTGAATGTATGTACAGTATATTTGTATCACGTCTCTCTCCATCAATGGTATTTATTTTATCTGAGCGCACTTATGTATTTATTGTGCCTCCCTGTATCTAATATGTTTCTATGTACTCTTTCTGTTACGTTACTTTATATTGGTATTATTATTACATCCGAATGTATCTAATATGTTTATATCTGTATCTATTGTCTTTCTATTTTATATGAATGTATCCATAATGTGCTTATTATTTCTATTATGTTTCTATTCTATCTCAATGAAACTATTTTATCTCTATATATTTATCATGTTTCCATTATATGTGTGTCTGTTATGTGTACATTTACTTGTGTATCGAGTTGCTATTATGTCTCTATGTATATACTGTGTACCTATTTTGTTGCTATTACATTTAAGTGCACACAATACGCTATTTTCTTTCCCCCTTCCCTCCCCCCCCCCCCCCCCCGCAGGACGGAGCAATGGAGACTCAGTCACCCAAACCAAGGGCAGCGCCCTGATCTCCCGAGGAGAATCTGTGGTTGTTAACTGCACCTATGAGGCTGTTTCTCCCTCTCTCTTCTGGTACGTGCAGTTCCCCAGCCAGCCCCCCAGGCTCTTCCTGAGGGACCTGGGACGGGAGGACTCGGATGAAGGGATCAGAAAAGGGTTCGATGCCACCCATGATAAAAAGCTCAAATCCTTCCACTTGTGGAAACCGTCCAGCGAACTGAGCGACTCCGCGACCTATTTCTGCGCCGTGAGAGACACAGTGACACGGATCGGCAGGGGAGCTCAGCAAAAAACCCCGGGGGCTGTGGCAGGAATCGCTGGTTCCTGGGAGCGACTCGGGGATGAAGGGTAGGAATTCTGCAAGCCCTGGACCTGGAACAGACATCTCTGTCTCTCACACAAACCAGCAGCACACAAGCCCTCCTCCCCCATCTAGTCCATCCTCCAGCCTGCATCGCCTCTTTCTGCTCCCGCCTTGGATTGCAGGATGCACTGGGCAGGTCATAGAACAAAATTCACCATCAGCTCAGGAAACCAGGAATGAAAGAATGAATGGAGCTGCGTAATCTGTCTAGGAAATAAAAATTAAGTAACTCCTCCCCAAACCAAACCGTACACAAATAGCTAGCTAGATATTGATTATTATTATTTATTTGTGTTATGCTAGCACCCAGAAGACCCCAGTCATTGACTAGAATCCTATTGTGCTAGGTGCTGTACAAAGACGGAAAAAAAACCCGATTCCTTGCCCCAGGTGCAAGGCAAGAAACAACAGGTGGAGACATACAAGGAAACCATGAAGCAATAGTGCCTAAATCAGGGGTTCTTGTACTGAGGGTTCTGACCCCTCAGGGGGTCGTAAGGTTATTATGTGGGGGTTGTAAGCTGTCAGCCTGCACCCCCAAACCCCGCTTGGCTTCCACCATTTATAATAGTGTTAAATATAAAAATGTGCTTTTAATTTATAAGTGGGTGTTGCACTCAGAGGCCTGCTGTGTGAAAGAGGGTCAGCAATACAAAAGTTTTAGAGCCACTGGTCTAAACAGGTAAGACAGACACGGGGTGGGGGAAGGGGTATAATATATGTGCAGGACTGTCAATTAATTGCAGTTAACTCTAATGATTAAGCAAAAAAAATAATTGAGGTTAAAAATTGCGATTACTCCCTGTTTTAATCACACTGTTAAGCAGTGGAATACCAATTGAAATGTATTAAATTTTTTGGATGTTTTTCTACATTTTCAAATATATTAATTTTAATTGCAACACAATACAAAGTGCACAGTGCTCACTTTATATTATTTTTATTACAAATATTTGCTCTGTAAAAATTTTGAACAAAAGTAACGGTATTTTCCAATTCACCTCATACTATTTCTTTTGTTTTTTTACTGCAAATATTTGTAATACAAATATAAAGTGAGCACTGCAGACATTGTATTCTGTTTGAAATTGAAAACAATATATTTGAAAATGTAGACAACATCCAAAAATATTTAAATACATGGCTGTCTGTTGTTGTTTAAAAGCACAATTAATCACACAATTAATCTCAATTTTTTTTAAATCTCTTGAGAGCCCTATTATCAGCCAATATTTACTGCCAATGCATGCACTTTGCCACTTAGGGGCAGTGCTGTAGTAGAAAACTAATACAAAGGACCATATTCTTCTGCCTCACGCTCTCTCCCTTCCTTTGAACACCCCCAGTCTCTGCCCTTCATACCAGCCCATCCTTGGCTGCCTCCCTGCAGAGAAGAGACAGTCATGCCTGTGCAGGCCACTCTGCAGCTCTGTGGGTTATCCTGGCAGGCAGCAGCTTTGACACAAGAGACACAAGGTTTTTTTTTGTTTTAAGGGCCTAACGTGGGAGATTTTTCTCTTCACCTGCCAGGTCATCCTAGCTGAGTCTGGGGTCCAGTACATTTGTGTCCCAGCCTCCCCGAAAACCTCACCATGCTGTCACATTGGATCACAGCTGCCTTCCCAGTGTTTGCTCTGAGTGAGTGAGTGAGGTTTCCTGCCCCAGTTCACTGATTCAGATTAGTATCCTGTCCGTGGTTGGGACAGGGGTTGGGGTTTGGGAGCAATGGACTGATTGGCCCCTAAGGGCTTGTAAAGGGTGAATTTGGTGTGAAAATCTCTTTCCCAGGTGGCCCAGGCAGTGCAGAGATCCAGCAGCCAGTGCTTCGGAGGGAGCTGGGTAGAACCTCACCTGCTCTCACCCCTCTGTGACAAGGGAGTGGATATTCTGGTTATTCCCCAGCCAGAGGCCTGAGTTTATAGTTCAAAGACTCATAGACCTGGCTTCCAGCACTGACCTGGAGGGGACTCTGAAATGGAGCCAGTGAACAGGAGCAGCTAACAGGGGAGTTTGGCAAGGGAGTTCTCCAGGTGAAGGAGGAGTGATTGCAGGACCCTTGGGATAAGTTTGTTGTCTGCAGTGTTTGTGGCATGCTTGCTGCTTGACTGAAATATACTGTGTGGTCTGTTTGTTTGGGGGCCCATGTGCTGACCATGTGTGTGCTGAGCCTAGAGGCCTGCTAGGCGAGGCTGAGAGTTAGGAGCTTGTTGACGAGGCATCCAATCAACCCTTAACCAGGGGGTGGGGATACTCAGGCAGAACAGGGCTTTAAAAAGCCGCTCCTAAGCGACCAGAGGAGCTAGCAAAAAGGGGAATTTGGCAAGGGAGTTTACAGGGGGAGTGTGAGCAGGGGCTAGATACATCTAACATTCTTTGCACTGAAAGGTCAAAACACCGATTGATAAAAACAAAGCACCAACAAGGGAACCAGCTGCAGGAGTAAAAAGAGAATGCAGGCAGAAGTCCAGCAACAGAGCAGGAGCTACCCAGTTTATTGCAGCATGTCTGATTACCTGCCCTGTGGGCTGGTGGCATATGTATGCATTCGGTGCAAGGAGCTCCCGGCCCTCAGACACCACATATGGACTTTGGAGACCAGGGTGGCCGAGCTAGAGGAGCTGAGGGAGACAGAGAGGTACAAGATGAGACTTTCCAGGACACAGTAGAATGGTCCCACCCCCGGTCTGACAGCCTCTGTGTTGTTGAGGAGGATGAAAGCCTCAGGGAAGGAGAACATCCAGCTGGAGCAGAGGGAAACGATCCATAGTTGAGACCCTCCTCTCAGATGATGTTGTGGTATCCTCTCACACTGAGGATACTTCTCCGAGGAGGGAACTCCAGTTATTGGGAAGAGACAGGTGGGCAATTCAGTCATTAGAGACATAGATAGCTAGGTTTGTGATGACTGGGAGAACCGCATGGTGCCTGGTGCGAAGGTTGTGGATCTCTCAATACATCTAGATAGATGTATGTACAGTGCTGGGGAGAAGCCGGTGGTCATGGTACATGTAGGTACCAACGCCATAGGGAAGGAGAGGAGAGAGGTCCTGGAGGTCAAAGTTAGGCTTCTAGGTAAGAGATTCACGTCCAAACCTCCATGGTAGCATTCTCTGAAATGCTCCTGGTTCCACGCACAGGGCCAGTTATACAGGCAGAACTGCAGGATCTCAATGCGTGGATGAGACGATGGTGTAGGGAGGAGGGGGTTAGGTTTATTAGGAACTGGGGAAGCTTTTAGGAGAGGGGGAGCCTGTACAGGAAGGATGGGCTCCACCTAAACCAAAATGGAACCAGATTGCTGGCACTTAAAATTAAAAAGGTCGTAGAACAGTTTTTAAACTAAGGGCTGGGGGAAAGCCGACAGGTGCGGAGGAGCATGTGGTTTGAACATCCCTTAGGGGAGGATCTATAAATGGAGATTCCCTATGTCCTAATACATAGGAGAGGATGGAAAATGATAAAATACAGGGAGGATCTGATGAGAAAAAGTCAAGTACGTCATGCAATAGGGGACCACCAAAAAATGACAAGTTTTTAAAATGCTTATATACCAATGCTAGGAGTCTAAATAATAAGATGGGTGAACTAGAGCGCCTAGTATTAAATGAGGATATTGATATAATAGGCATCACAGAAACCTGGTGCAATGAGGATAATCAATGGGACACAGTAATACCAGGATACAAAATATATCAGAAGGACAGAACAGGTCGTGCTGATGGGGGAGTGGCACTATATGTGAAAGAAAGCGTAGAATCAAATGAAGTAAAAATCTTAAATGAACTAAATTGTACTATAGAATCTCTATGGATAGTAATTCCATGCTTGAAAAATAAGAATATAGCAGTAGGGATATATTACAGACCACCTGACCAGGATGGTGTTAGTGACTCTGAAATGCTCAGGGGGGTTAGAGAGGGACTATTAAAATAAAAAATTCAATAATAATAATGGGTGATTTCAACTACCTCCATATTGACTGGGTACATATCACCTCAGGAAGGGATGCTGAGATAAAGATTCTTGACACCTTAAATGACTGCTTCTTGGAGCAGCTGGTCCTGGAACCCACCAGGGGAGAGGCAATTCTTGATTTAGTCCTAAATGGAGCACAGGATCAGGTCCAAGAGGTGAATATAGCAGGACCGCTTGGTAATAGTGACCATAATATAATTAAATTTAACATCCTTGTGGTGGGGAAAACTCCACAGCTGCCCAACACTGTAGCATTTAATTTCAGAAAGGGGAACTACACAAAAATGAGGAGGTTAGTGAAACAGAAATTAAAAGGTACAGTACCAAAAGTAAAATCCCTGCAAATTTCGTGGAAACTTTTTAAAGACACCATAATGGAAGCTCAACTTAAATGTATACCCCAATTAAAAAAACCTAGTAAGAGAACCAAAAAAGAGCCACTGTGGTTAAACAACAAAGTAAAAGAAGCAGTGAGAGGCAAAAAAGGCATCCTTTAAAAAATGGAAGATAAAGCCTAATGAGGAAAATAGAAAAGAGCATAAACTCTGGCAAATGAAGTGTGAAAATATAATTAGAAAGACTAAAAAGGAATTTGAAGAACAGTTGGCCAAAGACTCCAAAAATAATAGCAATTTTTTTCTAAATACATCAGAAGCAGAAAGCCAGCTAAACAACCAGTGGGGCCACTGGACAATCGAGAGGCTAAAGGAGCACTCAAAGACGATAAGGCCATTGCGGAGAAACTAAATGAATTCTTTGCATCAGTCTTCACTGTTGAGGATGTGAGGGAGATTCCCAAACCTGAGATATTCTTTTTGGATGACAGACCTGAGGAACAGTCCTAAATTGGGGTGTCATTAGAGTAGGTTTTAGAACAAATTGATGAACTAAACAGTAATAAGTCACCAGGACAAGATGGTATTCACCCAAGAGTTATGAAGGAACTCAAATGTGAAATAGCAGAACTACTAACTGTAGTCTGTAACCTATCATTTAAATCAGCTTCTGTATCCAAATGACTGGAGGGTAGCTAATGTGATGCCAATTTTTAAAAAGGGCTCCAGAGGTGACCCTGGCAACTACAGGTCGGTAAGCCCCACTCCAGTACCGGGCAAATTGGTTGAAGCTATCGTAAAGAACAGAATTGTCAGACACACAGATGAACATAATTTGTTGGGAAATAGTCAATATGTCTTTTGTAAAGGGAAATCATGCCTCACCAATCTAGTAGAATTCTTTGAGGGGGCCAACAAGCATGTGGACAAAGGAGATCCAGTGGGTATAGTGTATTTAGATTTTCAGAAAGCCTTTGACAAGGTCCCTCACCAAAGGCTCTTAAGCAAAATAATCAGTCATGGGATAAAAGGGAAGGTTCTCTTATAGATCGGTAACTGGTTAAAAGATAGGAAACAAAGGGTAGGAATAAATGGTCAGTTTTCAGAATGGAGAGAGGTAAATAGTGATGTCCCCTAGGGATCTGTACTGGGCCCAGTCCTATTTAACATATTCATAAACAATCTGGAAAAAGGGGTAAACAGTGAGGTGGCAAAATTTGCAGGTGATACAAAACTACTCAAGATAATTAAGTCCCAGGCAGACTGCGAAAAGCTACAAAAGGATTTCACAAAACTGGGTGACTGGGCAACAAAATGGCAGATGAAATTTCATGTTGATAAATGCAAAGTAAT